ATAGGTGGTAGAAGCTTTGGAGAGCTGGATACAGTTGGTAGGATCGACTCCCGTGGCTTCTACTCAACTTCTGGTACTGAAACCAAAAAAGGAGATAGCAAGAAGATTCACACACCAGCTTCCACTGGGATTTCTAGAGGAAATAGATGCTTGTTCTCGGCTTTTTCTACAACGTTTTATCTCGGTTCTTCTCCAGTAGCCCCCATCAGGCCGCCCAGAGACACCAGGCACATGAAATGTGTTAAGAGACACAGGAGGTGATGACAATCCGTCTCATTAAAACCCCGTAAAATATTCAGAGGAAACAAGATCACAGGGAAGTCCACCAAAGCAAGAGTGTTATTGTTTGGGGAGGGGAATCTTTTCCCCCCCTCGTTGTCTCATATTTGAACTTTCTGCAAGAATTCATATATAATATAATTTCTTAAATGATACTTTTGTTTATCTGGGAGAGAGGGGTATATCAGCTGCAGAAGCTGGGCAGCTGTTCGCAGGGGAGGGGCGTGGAGCCGCTGATTAGTGTTTGGTGAGAAGGACGCACTGGCACCCTGTGGCCAGGCCCACAAGGAGGAATATTTAGATTTCATTCACCCTCCAGAAGTCACACAGCATTCTCTCACCTTTTGTCAGCCTCTGGGGCCAGAGGACCCTCAGCCCATGGCAGGACCACTCATTCCCCTGACTGATCAGGAGCTGGGGCCCCCAGAGGATCACCCTTCTCTGGCCACTGCTGAGCCAGCCAGTGCAGGTGCTGGGCTGAAACACCTGTGTCCTGTTCCTCCCATTGTGCTAAGAAGGAAGAGAAGCCTGGGCACTCTGCTGGGCCGGGTCAAGTCAACGGGGGCGGACCATGCACGCTGAGGCACCGCTGGCTCCGGTGTCACAGGCCCGGGGCTTGCTGACTCTCAGAGTCTCTACTGAGAAGCAAAGCTCGGGTGCACCTACACGGCGGCCCCGAGCCTGAAGAGAAATCAGGGCCCTCGATCCCATGGAAAAGCCACAGGAGGGCCCTTCCCCTCCAGTGCAGCCTGCTCAGCCTCCTGTGCTTAGTCTCACATGCCCGTGGTTGACTGTATAGCTCAGTGATGGCGAACCTTCTGAGCTCGGCGTGTCAGCATTTTGAAAAACCCTAACTTACCTCTGGTGCCGTGTCACATACAGAAATTTTTTGATATTTGCAGCCATAGTAAAACAAAGACATATTTTTGATATTTATTTTATATATTTAAATGCCATTTAACAAAGTAAATCAACCAAAAAAAAATGAGTTTGCGTGTCACCTCTGACACACGTGTCATAGGTTCGCCATCACTGGTATAGCTGCAGGCCGGCAGGATCTTCGTCTTGTCTGGTTGGGTGTTTTGCACAATCTGCGAGAGGCCAGTGAATGAAAACCAAGCCACTGCTGAGAAGTTAAATCTTGGAAGAATCAGTGTGTGGAAGGACAGTAAATAAGACGGGAAGTCCTACTAGGCCATTTGGGTTGTAAGAATTCCCTGGAAGAAAGGGAGAAGGGCCTCAGCCTTCTCGATGTGTTTCAACGTATCCAAAGGCCAAGTAGCATTAGCGGACTTCCCAGCCCCGTTTGAAGAGTGCTGGCGTGCCTGCGAGCCTGAGAAGGTAACATTCCCCCTGCTCCACGAGGGGTCTGTGCCCGCTCTTTATCTCTGGGGACCACGGCATTGGCGTGGAGCTCATATCTCTGACCATAGCCAGCAGCCGCCGTGAGTGACCACTGAGCCTCTCCAAGAACACCTCTGGGACTCACCTCCGGTGTCAGTGGAAATTCTCCCTTGCCGGAGGGGAAACAGAGCCTTTTAAAGAGAAACAAGAGTGTTTGGGTTTTGCTTTGTTGTTTTTTTTCCCCCCCTCACATTGAAGAAAGTCTATGTCTGACCATTTTCTTTTCCTTTGACCTCTTTAAAAAGCAACTGGAGTTGCAACAGCTCTGCTGAAATTTTATATGGCCTTTTGCTTCAAGGACTTTGAAACGAGCATTGTTGATTTTTCTTCTTTCCTGTCAACCTCTGTCCTATTTCCCTAGTGTTTTATATTCACTGCCTGGATGCTTTTGAATATAGTAACTCTCACTACAGAAGGCCTTCTGACTTTCCCTGTGGCCTGAACTATAGGTATGTTTTCTTTCTGAAAATCGGTAAACACGATTGCGAGCGGGAGCAGAACGGCTTTGTGGTCAGCAGAAGGGGAGACGCCAGGCCCAGAACTGCTGCCACCTCTGCTGTGCAAACAAGGCTTCTGCCTGGTGTGGAAACATCCGTGTCCCCGCACACAGACCTCTGTGTTATTTAGGCACCGTCCAGGATCTGAGTGTCTGTTTGTCATCCAAAGGGTATGAAAGGGAAATCAAACATTCTTTCATATCAGTATAAGCCTTGTGCAAACACAGCCTCATGGACAAAGCCCTTTCCCGGGCCCATAACAAGGAGCTGTTTGTCCTGGCTGCCCATCTTTAGCAGACGGAGCAGGGCTGAGCTGAGAGTGGTGTAATGTGTGTCGTTGTGATTTGGTTCTCTTGGGCCAAAGAGTTTCATAGGTGTCATGGGGCAGCGTTCACCATACACAAGTAGAATCACAGCGCCCACTGGCAGCCTTCGGCTAATGCCGCGTCCAGTGGGCTCAGAGCTACAGAGAACCTGACAAAGCAGGTGCACCCAGCCGTGGAAAAGCCACATGGTCGTTTGTGATTGCCTTTGTGCGTGGGGATTCACTAGTCACAGAAGCCAGGATCTGGGCTCCTGTCTGCCGGCATCTGATGTCACCAAGGAAAAAGCCTGCGCTCAGGATAAAATTTCTCCATCACCCTCCCCTAAGCCAGGCAGACATAATACTGCACCTTCTGAGTATTAGCGAGGGCTTGGTTTCCTCACCCAGAAATACTTTGATCAATGAAACTCAGGTTTAATTGACCTATTTTTCTGATTCCTCAGTTTCATTGAGTCCAGTACAATAGCCACACGTGGCTGTTGAGCCCCAGAATTGTGGCTAGTTTATGACATGTTGTAGGTGTCATATACGCCTCGGATTTTGAAAATTTAGTGCCTCCCATCCAAAAAAGTAAAATATCACAGTAATTTTCTATTAATTACATGTTGAAAATATTTTGGATCTATAGGGTTCAAGTCAATATTTTATTAGAATTAATTTCACCTGTTTTCATTTCTTTGAGTTATTTTAATCAGTGGCTACTAAGAAATGTAGAATCACAGATGCAGCCGGCATTGTTTGCATTGGACAGCGCTGGGCAGGCGCTTGAAGGAAGTGTAGGTGCATAGCGCCATCTGCTGGTCCGTCTACGGCAAACTCTATCTAGTGTAAGCAAGCATGAAGCAGTCTGTGCTGGGAAACTCGGCAGAACAATGTGCTACCTTCCTTTTCTAGGAGCTTCTGAAACAGAAGCAGAACTGAACCCCAAAGTCCCTAGGGTCTTCAGTAGGAATCCTGGAAAGGGTGGTGTCCAACTGCGGGAAGCTGCAGGCCTGTGTTTACCTCATGAGTGCTGAGGAGACTCTAGAAGGCTGTGGTTCTTAAATGTTGCAAACCGCCACAGACAAGGTTGTAACCAAGCATTTAACAATAGAAGGAGGACACAGATCCATCCCTCAAGAGACGGGAGTCCTCTCTTTGAATAATGCTCATTGGCTTTGATTTGTCAAGAGTTTGAAAGTGAGACTCTTGCTGATAATAATATCTGCACCAGTTATCTATTGCTGCTTAACAGATCACCCCAAACTTTGTGGCTTGTAACAACAAAAATCGTTTTAACGCCTCCCACTGTTTTATGGGTCAGGAATTCAGACGTGGCCCATCTGAGCACTTCTGGCTGGGGAACCTCATGAGTTGGAAGTGAGATCCAGGTGGCCTCACTCCCGACTAGCTTTGCAGGCAACCAGTGCAACCTCATTCTGCTCAGCCTTCCTGCTGGCCAAATCCTGGAAACTCAACTCAGGTGCCGAGTCTGTGTCAGGGAGGAAGAGGGAGGCACACGGTCAGAAAGTCCACGTCCTGGGTGGCTCATTCATGTGACTGGCAAGGTGATGCCGGTTGTTGACTGGGGGCCTCAGGTCTTCTCCACAGGGGCCTCTCCACAGGACTTAGCTGGTTTCCTCCACGAAGAGCAATCGAGGAGGCCCAAGAGGAAACGGCAACACCCTTGATGACCGAACCTCCAAAGTTACACCATCGCTCCTGCTGCACTGTATTGGTCGAGGCAGGAATGTGCATCCTCTCGATAGAAGAAGGTCAAGAAGGTTTCTTGTAAAAGAAAGTGTGAGATGGGATGGCCGTGGCGTTTTGGAAAACACAATCTGCCAAAGGGCCTACCACTTGAAGAGCACTGGGAGACTAAAAAGCACGGCCTGTTTTCCAGATGAGCACACTAGGGTTTAGAGTAGTGAAGTAACTTGTCTGAGGTCTCACATCTGGTAGGAATGACGAAAGTCCAGTTCTAGCTCCTTGTCCATGCTGGAGTAGCCTTCCAAGTCACCGCCCTGTCTCCCTTATGCCGTGGTAACTAAGCATCGCTGACTGTTCCACCTTTCCAGCATCTTCAGGGTGTGCGATGCTCTCTTCATTCGAGTGTTTCAGACCATTCTTTAGGTCTCTTTCTATACATAGTTGTTTTATTGAGCTGTGGCTCAATGGAAGCAGGTTTCAACCAGCTAGAGAATCCTTCTTACTAAAGTGCTGAAGCAATGAAAAAGTTCACATTTCCCAGTGTTTTCCATGCTGCTTGCTTCAAAAATCTCAGGGATGATGAGCACCATGTAATTTGTGTGATCACATTCTGTTTGATTATCTGAATATTACATCGGATTTATACTTGAAACAGGGAAGAATTAATCACAGCTGCTCTCGGTAGTTCCCGTATTACTCGGTCATCTTCGAAAGGAGGTTTTTTACCATGCTTTGATGTTCTACCTGCCTGAATGAAAACTAAAAACCCAGCTGCCGTAATCATCATCTGTTATTCTTGGTTCCAGGTCAAACTTCCCTTTCCTGTAGATCAAATCACAGATCTCCCGAGGAACGACTTCCAGATGATGATTAAGATGCACAAGCTGACCTCAGAACAGTTAGAGTTCATTCACGACGTCCGGCGGCGCAGCAAGAACCGCATCGCGGCCCAGCGCTGCCGCAAGAGGAAACTGGACTGCATTCAGAATTTAGAATGTGAAATCCGCAAATTGGTGAGTTGGCCCTCCCATTGCTCTCTGCACCCTGGAGTGACAGGACTGATGCAAAGGTACAGCAGGGAAGGCTGAAGAAGTCAAGGGAAGGGTCGCCATTCAGGGAAGTTTGGGTTCATTTGTAAACACGTTTCTCAGCAAAAATAATAGCTTTATATCCACCATGGGTGTGTCTGTGAGGGTGAGTAATCACGTGTCGATATTTTATGTAGAGGTTGTTCTTTCCTACTTTCCATTCAGCGTGTTCTAATAGTTAACATTTACCACATGCGCATGTGGACCAGGCATTATTCTGAAGTATTTTTGTAGGTTAATCCTCACATCAACCCTACGACTTAGATACTATTTTATCTCCATTCACAGAGGCAGAAACAAGAGTGCAGAGGGGTTAGGTAACTCCCCACTCTGTGGCATAACTTGGCTGCCAACCCAACTGTCTGATTCCAAACCTTGTGTTTTCTCCTGCCTCCCACAGAGGAGTGGGTTAGAGGTAGGACGCCTGCCTGCTGTGAGGCAGCTCAGCTCCTGAAGCCCTTCCCTGTCCCAGGGTCCTTGATGTTGCAATTCTGCCTCCAGGTGATTATCACGTCCTCCCTGTGCCTGAGAGTATTTTGTGTCAGGAAACAAGCTCCCATCCCCCAAGCTTCCTGTCCCTCGGAGCTGTGTGCCCCTTCTTCGTGAAATGCAACCTTAAGCTACAGGAATAAACCCAGGTGGCCTCACCCCTGACCAGCTTTGCAGGCAACCAGTGCAGCCTCATTCAGCTGGGCCTTTCTGCTGGCCAAGTCCTGACACTGATCAGCTCAGGTGCCGAGAGTGTGTCAAGGAGGGAGAGGGAGGCCACACAGTGTGGTCATGATCTACGCTTGGGTCCTCAGACTGCACGCAGCAATCCTTTGCCTCCTGGTAAGCCACCGTCCTAAAGCAAACCTAAGAGCCAGGCGTTTGAAAAGCATGAACAAATGTTACGAGTTATTTTTTAAGACTTTTTTTTTTTTATATGTATTTTTTATTGATTTCAGAGAGAGGAGAGGAGAGGAGGAGATAGAAATATCAATGCTGAGCCGAAACCGGTTTGGCTCAGTGGATAGAGCGTCAGCCTGCAGACTGAAAGGTCCCAGGTTCGATTCCGGTCAGGGGCATGTACTTGGGTTGCAGGCACATCCCCAGTAGGAGGTGTGCAGGAGGCAGCTGGTCGATGTTTCTCTCTCATCGATGTTTCTAACTCTCTATCCCTCTCCCTTCCTCTCTGTAAAAAATCAATAAAATATATTTAAAAAAAAAAAAAGAAAAGAAATATCAATGCTGAGAATGAATCATTGATCGGCTGCTTCTTGCATGCCCCACGCTGGGGATCCTGGGGATCGAGCCTGCAGCCCGGGCATGTGCCCTGACAGGGAATTGAACCATGACCTCCTGGTTCATAGGTCAATGCTCAACCACTGAGCCACACTGGCGAGGCAATGTTATGGGTTATTAAGATAGTCCTGGACCTCAGAGTCCTTTTTATTATTTAATTAACACCCACCAAGCCGGGAAAACTTGCCCATCTTCAGTGGCTCCTGTCATGTACAAATAAAGCCCACACTCCTCAACCACACAGCTGGTGCTCTCCAGGAGTCAGGCTGTCTTGCTCTCCAGCACCCTTCCACTCTCTCCCTACAACTTGACCCCGAATAAAATCAAACTGTCTGCACCCCCCACCATCTCCTACTCTTCACACCTCTGTGCTTGTGCCTCTGTTGTTTCCCCTCCACCTCGGACATCTCCCTGTTTATCTTCTCTAACTCTACCCGTGCTCTTTAAGACACAGGTAACTGTCCCCTCTCCGGAAGGCCCCTTCCTGAGCCCCTGTGAGGCTGGCACCTGCCCTGGAGCCAGTCTGACCTCTGGCTTCGTGCTTGTCACATTATTCGTCTTGCGTTGTCTGTGTCTGCTGCCCCAGCCCCTTGCCCGAGACTGTAGGTTTCGTGCAACAAGGACAGTTAGGTGATCATCTCTGAATGTCCAGTGCAGACCCATTGAAACCTCTCGGGAAATGTCCGTTGACCTAAAATTGCAACTGGGTCGTGGAATTATGAATGACTTCTTTCTTTTAGATTTTTCTTTAATGTTGTTTTAAGAACAACAAAACGTTTTTCATTTAAGCCAAGCACCACATTGCTGCTGGTGAGTGTGGGCCTTCTGAAAGCCTGCTGGGCTTAGGTGGGGAACCAGGCCAGGCTGGGCCCACAGGTACCAGTCGGCAAGGTCTTAGGCCCAAGTCTGTAGGAATGCCGGGCCGACACTCTTCTTCAGGCGATAGGATAACCCTAACCACCCGTATTTGAGAAATGCCCAATTTTTGTTTAGCATTCCTCTCCATGCGACTGTGTGATATAAACAAATAATAAGTCTGCGCCACACACCAGGCAGACATCTAAAGCTCTTGCTAATACTGTTCAGTTGGGAAGCCAAGAGGGCATCTGGTTTGCGCCCCCCCCACCACCACCACCCCTTTTTTGGAAACCCCTTAAGGAACATGCGGCATTTCACCACCAAATGAAATGCTCGTCAGTGTACAGCTAGCTGTGCCCTAGTGCTTCCCGCTTTCAACCAAGTCTTGATGTGTGCAGTGAGCCAAAACACCGCACACATAGTGTTTCATCCTCTTCACCCCAGAAAGTGACCCGGGACATTTTGCAGGTCAGTGGGTGTGAAGGGGTCACTGGCTGGGCCAAGCTGATGTGGCAGAATTAAGATTGGGATTCCCTCAGAGTCCCCTCCCAGGCTGTGTGCTGTTGCCTCTTCACAGCCTTCCAGGTTACAGCACAGAAGGTCCAGGTTGCACAGCCTGGATGGTTTTGGCTTCTTACCCACCGCCCTCTAGCTGGGAAGCTGCGCCCACTCGCCTGGCCTGAGTGGCAGGTGGCTCTGGCAGGGCCAACTCTGATCCCGCCCACAAGTCCCCAGCACGGCACTCTCACTCCCCACTCCCACGCTGTCTCCGGCGTGCCACTCAGCTTCTGCAAACTTGCATAATGTATTTCTCTCGAGTTGCACTTGTACATCTGTTTATTTTTCATTTTTAAAACATGTTTTCTTGGAAAATTTATAAATATTTTAGCAGGTGCCCTTTCCCCATATAAATCTCTGTCTCTGACAGACTTGCACGCGCTGCCTGGCACACTGCATTGGAGATGGGCACGTGCAGCTCGTGAGGAGCCCCCACGTGCCTGCCGGGCTGCGTTCGAGATGGGCACGTGCAGCTCATGAGGAGCCCCCACGTGCCTGCCGGGCTGCGTTCGAGATGGGCACGTGCAGCTCATGAGGAGCCCCCACGTGCCTGCCGGGCTGCGTTCGAGATGGGCACGTGCAGCTCATGAGGAGCCCCCACGTGCCTGCCGGGCTGCGTTCGAGATGGGCACGTGCAGCTCATGAGGAGCCCCCACGTGCCTGCCGGGCTGCGTTCGAGATGGGCACGTGCAGCTCATGTAGGGAGCCCCCACGTGCCTGCCGGGCTGCATTTGATTTAAGACATCTGCAGCTTGTGTAGGAGCCCCCACATCAGATGTGTGCCCCCCACCCTCTCACTCTGTCCCCTGCTTCATTTTCTCTCCCATCCCCACTCCACGCTGCCCTCGATGTGTAGTTTCTCCATGTCGCTGTGTGCCCTCTCTGGAGCCTCCTGATCCTCTCTCCTCACACAAGTAGTTGTGGTAAAACTTAAACCCCTCTCCCCTCTGGTGCTAAATTCCTCTCTCTGAGGGGGTGATGGACTTGAGAAGCACAAGAGCTTGTGTGGAATTTTCCTGAAGGAAAACACCTGAGAACCTCGGTCTCCACAGCCCTGTGTGCCCTCTTGCTGTCCAGAGAGAGTCAGCCTCACTGCCCGGTCCCCAGCCGTCCTAACCAGCATCTGTGTGCTCAGTCTGCGACGAAGGCCAGCGAGCCTGCTGAGGTTAGATGGAACCATCTGAAATGTCCAATAATCACATTTTTTAAATTTCCATAGCTTAAATATTTTCAAGAATTTTAGGTTCATAGCCAAATTGAATAGCAAACACATAATTTCCACGTGCCCCCTGCTCCTGCACACTCCCAGCCTCTCCCATTATCAACATGCCCCACCAGTCACATTTGTTACAATTGGTGAACCTACACTGGCGCATCAGAATCGCCCAGCTGCCCTGACTGGTTTCGCTCCTTGGATAGAGCATCTGCCCAAGGACTGAGGGGCCCCGGGTTTGATTCTGGTCTGGAACACATACCTCAGCTGAAGGCTCCATCCCTGGCCCTGGCCGGGGCCCACCGATCGATGTGTCTCACTCACATCAATGTTTCTCTCTGTCTCTCCCTCTCCCTTCCACTCTCTAAAAATAAATGGAAAACTGTCCTAGGGTGAGGAGTAACACACACACAAAAAAAAATCACCCAAGTCCACAGTTCATATGAGGGCTCACTCTTAGGGTACAGCCCATGGGTTTGGACAAATGTATAATAAACAACATAATACCATGTATCTATCACACAGAGTAGTTTCACTGCCCCAAAATTCTCTATGCCCTGCCTATTCATCCTTCCCACCCCACCCCACCCCCCTGGCAACCACTGGTCGCCATGGCTCTGCCTTGCTCAGTTATTTTTGACCTTCAGAAATGGCAATATAATGCATCTAGGGGAGATTCTCAGCTCTTGGTTTGAGACCAAGAATTTTCCAGTTGATCCCCTGCAAACCCCAAATTCTAAGAAACAGGAACCTTGACTCCCAGAAGTGCTCTGAGCCCCAGCCAGTTTGGCTCAGTGGATAGAGCATCCGCCTGTGGACCAAAGAGTCCCAGGTTCAATTCCTGTCAAGGGCATGTACCTCGGTTGCAGACTCCCAGCCCTGGTCCACGGCGTGTGTGGGGCAACCAATAAATGTGGCTCCCTCACATCTGTGTTCCTCTCTGTCTCTCCCTCTCCCTTCCACTCTCTCTAAAAAAAAAATCAATGGAAAAAATGTCCTCGGGTAAGGATTAAAAAATAATAATTTAAAAAAATAAAATCTTAAAAAAAAAAAGTGTTCTAGTTGGTGGTGATTTTACTGGTCACTTGGCCAGGCCACCAAGAGGGACAAAGAGCTGCCACGGGGGAGGTGTCAGGATCGGTGCCCGTCTGGGTGGGCAGCTCAGCGATGAGACCTGGAAGGAGTGCATGTCCAGGCTCCCGGGAGGCATATGTTTTGAGTTTCTAGAGAGCCCAGCAACAAGGTCTCCCTCCGGCGCAGGCTTGACCGGGTGTCTCTTGTTTCCCCGTGTCCAGGTGTGCGAGAAGGAGAAGCTGCTGTCCGAGAGGAACCAGCTGAAAGCGTGCATGGGGGAGCTGCTGGACAACTTCTCCTGCCTCTCCCAGGAAGTCTGCCGCGACATCCAGAGCCCCGAGCAGGTCCAGGCCCTGCATCGGTACTGCCCTGTCCTCAGACCCATGGGTCTCCCTCCAGCCTCCAGTATTAGCCCCGCGCCCTTGGGCGTGGAGCAGAACCTTGCCGCCCCTCCGTGCGCGGTTGGGGACACCGTGCCCTGCTGTTTGGAGCAGGGTGCCGCGCCGCCCGGGCCCCCCTGGGCCCCCAGCAACGCCTCCGAGAACTGTACTTCTGGGCGGAGGCTGGAAGGCACTGACCCAGGAACCTTCGCGGAGAGAGGGCCTCCTCTGGAACCCAGGAGCCAAACGGTGACCGTGGACTTCTGCCAGGAAATGACTGATAAGTGTACAACCGACGAGCAGCCCAGGAAGGATTACACCTAGTGACGCGGCCCGCCTCCGCGTCCTCACACCTCCCCACCAGGTGGCGCTGTCCAGCTGTCGTCTGGAAGAACCGAGAAGGAATTGGTGCACACTACAGCGGTCTCAGCAGCAATACTTTCAGCAAGTATTCCCTCCTCTCTCCACGCAGGAGTGATCGTTACCTTCACAATGGTGCTACCCCTTGCCCCGGCAAGGAAAGACAACAGTGGTGACACTGTCTGTCTGTGGGTTAATTTCAGTCTTAACAGGGATAGACTATAACACCTCTAGGACCCAACCACGGATTTTTTTCTCAGTGGCCCATGTCACAAACCCTATCTCAGGAATTTCTTCTGAATGTTCAATTTTTTTCATTGAAGACAGCTTCTATACACATCAAAGTTTTATAGCTAGACTGTACATATTATATATAATATATATATGAAATATATATCTCTCCATATGCAAAAGTCCTGCATGCCTCAACTTTCTCATCCTAAAACTGGAAACTTCATTTCTCATTGACAGACAGGTTCCAACATTCCTCTTCTTTTGTCTCTGATGCTAGAACTAGTTTGGCAACTGTTAACATGGTCTTTTTTTTTTTCTTGCTTCACAGTTCAACTTTGATTTGTACTTATTTATGGACAGAATTCGATGTTGGAAGTCTTCATTTTGAGGTTTTTGTTTTCAGACAGCCTTTTTCTGTTTGGTTTGGGTTTGGCACCGTCAGGTGGTGTCATCTGAGTTGGTGGGTTTGTTGTTTGTTTCTGCAGACACTGTACAGTCATGGTCAACTTTGCCACTTGCACTGAGTTTTGGGTCAAACCTATTTTCTTAAATGAAGTTGTAACTTCCGTATAACTCGAGTATACTGTATATTCTTTGCTTTTAGTTTAAAATTAAAACACTTTAGCTCATTAAAAAACCACTCAGGTGATAATTATGTAGGGAAAAAAACAATCTTGCCAAATAATGAATTCATCCTAGGATGTGTCGACAATAATCTGCTTGAATATTTTTCTATCTCACCTCCTCCCCACCTTTCCTAAGCAAAGTTGAAATGCAGATGGAGAGTTCGGAGTTGATGCTGGATGTTCAGATTCCTAAGTGGGGAGAGAGTTTGGGCATCTCACTCGAAAGTGCATCGAAATAATAGGCATTGACTCCTAGATATAAGTCAGACCTGCTTTCTCACCCGGGGAGTAAGTCCCATTCATTTCAGCACTTCATCCAGCCTCGCCTGCCCAGGGAGTGTAGTGCGGCAGGACCTGCTACTTGGAAGGACTCTGGCCTCCTGGGAGAGCTCACCCGAGGGGGTGACCTGCAGCCCCAAGGCCCTGCCTCTGCGCGGCTGTCCTGGGTCAGTGCAGCTCACCCCAGAGTCGGAGAGAGCAGGTCAGACTGAGCCTAAGGTCTGTCCTGGACACAGGCGAGAGCATTTCTTCCTCCCTTCCTTCCTTCCTTCCTTCCTTCCTTCCTTCCTTCCTTCCTTCCTTCTCCAAATGCTTCGAGTTGAACTCTGAGGTTTTCCACCAGTCTCTTGTCCCCAGGCAGATTTCATTCTGAGTCTTTGGACGTGGTGTGGCCAGGAGCCCGCCCTGACCCTGCCCCCACCACACTCACACCTGCCCTCACCTGATGATCATTTTCTTCTCTTGCTGCAAAACTGGTTGGCTTGCAACCCACAGAGAGCAGCTTCCCTTGGCTCTGAAGGGTTGGGGGGGGGGGGTGTGGGCCCCTGGCCACGTTTACAGAAGAGGGTGCTGAGACCCCGCCCCAGCCGCAGAGGAGGAGGAATCAGCTCCCTCGCTCCAGCGGGCCCAGCCTGGCCAGGGGAAGAGTCCCTAAGGGTTTGATGTGGGGATGGGGTGGTGGGCACTGGGGACTAGATGGTTGACTCTGTTTCTTTATTTGTGCCATTGTTTGGACAATATTAAAGCTGCATGTAAAGGGGGAATTAGTATATGATGTAGGCGAAAGTGAAATCATAGCAACATGTTTTAGTATTATTAACTTTTTTCTGTACAAATATTAGCGCTAAATGTTGGAATATGTATGAATGCCAGAAATATGTTGGTTCACGCTGTAGGATTAAAACACAAAAAAAGGCTTTTCTTTTAAACTAGCTCCACTTTTAAAACCTGCGTCTGGGTTTTCGTTTCCTCTCGTGTGTGTGTGTGTGTGTGTGTGTGTGTGTGTGTGTGTGTGTGTGGTGTGCGCATGCTTGTCTCATTGAGCTCTGTGCCAGAGCTGCCCCTGTCATCGCGGTTGTTGGTATTTCTCCGCCTAGTAGACAGGTCTTGTGCTTCACCAAGAGGTCTGCCCGCCTTTGGGGAAAGCTGGTGACAGTTCGAATTTACAGTCAATGTGAATCATGTGATCCATCCCAAGTCTGTGTTACGGTGGAGTCAGCCAACAGTATTTTGTTTTTGAACTCTCTTGTTTTCCGTTTTTAAGTGACCTCCTCTTTTTCAAAAAAGGAATGTTTTCTGCTCAGATCATAACCAGGCCCAAACGCCTTGTTGGCATCATTTATCCTGGTAACAACTCACGTGCAACTGGTAGTCTTGACCACATTCCGTTCACCCTCTCCCTGTGGGTCGGTCCGCACACACCTGTGCCGTGGCCGCTCCCAGTGGGAAGGGCTCTCTTTCTTTCTCTCCACCCTAACTGGATCCACCTCCTCTTCTTGCCAGCCCCCACCTCACTTTTATTCCTCTCTCCAACCAAACCCTTGCTGTAGGAACTGGTTAAAAACACTGCTTGAAAAACTGTCTTTCGATTTCTTTTTAACAACTTGTTCCGATTTTGTTCACCATCCACCATGAACAGTGACTAACTTTGTGCAATGCAACATGTCCATGTCTGTTACTGCTCTAAAACATGTGTTTGTCAAGATTATTTCCTGGTTCATTCAAAGGGAGGACTAGCTGGGGACCAGAATCCAAATGGCCTCAAGTGGAACTTTTAAAACCAGCCTGTTCCTTCCCCTGGGATCCCTTAGTGAAGCCTGTGTCTCGTAGGAAAAGGAAAAGCAAGTTAACCGTAAGGAACAGTGTTCTTTGGGGTCTTTCTTACCAAAATAAAGGACCCTCCCACCATGGTCTGTTTAGGAGGATCCCTACGCCAGCCCAGTAGGGGCTGGGCTCTGAGTGTCTGGGCCTGGAATGGGTCAGGGCAGGGACAGTGGAGGTGACGAGCTAACAGCCGCCTGAATCTAGCCCCCCCCCCCCCCTTTGTTCTATGTGTGTCTCCAGGCAGCCTCACTTCCTTCAGGTTGGCCAGGCTTCGGGCAGGCGAGTGCTTTGCTGTATGTGTTTGTTTCTCTGCGTTATCTGGGGGTGCCTTGAATAAATGAACTTTATTACATACTGATTCTGGAACAAAACAGTTGCAAAAAAAAAAAAAAAAGGCTGGCAGTTCCTAGGCCCTCCTGCTTCTCCCTCTGGGTTCCCTGGCCATGACTCCGGCGTCAGAGGTGAGCTGCAGCAGACGGTGTGATTTTGTATAGTGTACAAGTAATTTATTAACTGTCTTTCTGAAGGTATGCTGCTTTGAAGATGCACTATGATTTTGGATTTAATCCTCGTCTTGCTTTCCCAAGGAACTTTAAAAAAAGGCTGTTGATTAGCAGGCCAACTGCCACTTCTTGAAAAGGAGGGCAGGGAGCCAAGTGAGGGCCTGCATGGGAGGACTGCTCAAGGTCAGGTGGGCACAGTGTCGCGTTCAGTGCTATTGCCAAGAGGTCCACACCTACACTCTCTCCTTTAATACTTTATGATGGCCATTCAAGAAGAAGAAACAAACAAAAGTGTAAAAATGATAAGCCGTTTAAGAAACCACCAAGTCCTGCCCTGTGAGCTGATCCACTGTGGGGCAGCGTAATCCTCTGAACACAAGCAGAAGCCTGCCAGGCTCTCTCAAAGCCCTCCTTGGTTCCCTAGGTCTATACATCACACCCCATTCAAGCTGGGAGCTGCATAGGAAAGGACTTCAAACCGCTCCACTGTCGCTTCGTGTGGAGGAGTCAGATCTAGAAGGAAGCAAGAATCAAGTTTTTTCCTCATCACTGTAAATAGACTAAAGAACATAGCGTGTGTGTGTGTGTGTTTAAAGAATAAAGCTGTTCACTGGATCATGAGTTAGTGTTTCTTGCCCAAATAGAGGATTTTGTTGTAGGTTCCGTTTCTGGCAGGTCAGTCCACAGCGCAGGGCCCTGGGTGGCCGTGGGGAGGCATTCTGTGTTCAAGCTGTGTGTTTCTAACACTGCCCAAGCCATCTCATGACCCAAGCATCGAAGATGGATGCTGCAGAGTAGAAAATATTTGCACACAAATATGTGCAAATAGTACTTGTACATAGAAAATAACTATTGTGGCAGATTAAGGATAAATTATTCAACTGACGGTGCAAAAACATTTCTTGCAAAGAAAAGTTAAATGTATAGTATTTTCCTACACTCCACCCTGGGAGGTAATATTTATATCAAATGGCTATCGGTGTGTTTTCATTGTGGAGATGATTTCATGGCGTGGTGTGGTGTGCGCATTTCAGTATCAAGCAATGGACAGACAGCTCTGACTCTCACGTTCATTCCAGGTTATTGACCTCAGAGGAAACCATGGCCCTCCTTAGAAGCAGAAGTGCACCCAGGCCATTCATTTCAGGTAGACTGGCATTCAGTGCCAAATGCTCCCGTGTATCAGGAAAGGGGAAAGGACTTGGACACAGTGGGGTTTTCCTACAGACTGATGCTTAGTCTTCTACCGAAACATGTCTGGAGGCAGAGGGGTGACCTCCGCTCGAGTCCCCACAGTGCACTTTGCATATGTGAATGCTGGGGTGCCCATGCACGCTGGGACGTAGACCTGCCACTTCCAGCGAGTAATCAGGAAGATTCCAGATGCACTTGGGAGCTTTGGGTGCTGGTTAGACACCGTGAGCCATTCCGGGCAAGCACCCACCTTTGCTTGGGAGGCCAAGAGGGACTGTGAGAATTTGTTCCAGAACCAGTCGGATGCAAGTGCACCTCTAATACATGCCTTACAAACTCCAGAGGCCATATTCAAAACAGGGTCTTCTCAGTGTATGCAAGGGGCCACAGCCCCGCCTCTCCTCCTCCCCAGGTCGAACAATACGGACAGATTTCACACATATCTACCTGTATAACCCTCTGTACCTCTCATAACTGGTCAACGACTGTAACAGGTTACATCAGGTGTTTTTCTACATACTTTTTACACAGATTCTATGCGATTAATGTAACTTAATTCAGTGCATCAGTTTATTATACTAGTTCTTAGGCTTGTCTTTTACTTTCTAAGTGATTGTGGTTTTTCTTGTGGTTTTTATTGTAAAGATGAAAACAGCTGTTGATGCTTATTCTCTGTAACTAAGAATTTTTACCTTTTTTGGGGGGGAAAGCGTTGCTATGAACTAATGAATTGAAACTTCATTTACTCATTGTAAATACACTATTGTGCAAAAAAAATTCAATTGAATTGCTAGTGTTAACTAAATTTTGTCTAGACACCATTTCTGTTGATGAAATAAAGACACATCATTATGCATTGTAAACTGGTTTTCTCTGCCTCGGATCCCTGTTACAGACGACACAGCTGGTGGCCTGAGGAAATCTCTGCTGCCAGAGAAGCCATGTCTCTTCCTCAAGTTCATACCCTTACCTGTTACCTGACTGATCTTATCAGAAGTCTAAATATGTGATCATTCCAAAGTGATTCCTCAACTCTGAATTTTCAAAACCCCTAGTGCCTATGAGAGCAGATGAAAGACATTAAATCCAATTTCCTGGTTTGGGTTTGGTGCTGTCGCCTATGCAAAATGTCACCACTGGGGGGAGCTATGGGGAGGGTGTTGTTTCTTACAATGACATGTGAACCTGCAATTATCTCAAACCAAAAGCTAAATGAAAGTAAACAGAGAAAAGAAATCAACACCAAGATACAAGGAGGGGCAGGGCAGGGAATTTAGAATTCTGGTTAGGGAGTAAATACAATTGAGCGAGAAAAGCCTATTTGATAGTTCAGTCTTGGAGTTTGATGCCAAGGGAAATGGAGATATTGAGTGGCAGGCAGGCCAGACGACGGTGAGGAACAGTGGACACAGAAGCGGTTGGCTGAGCTGTCAGTGAGGCTGTAAAGGATGTGTTCACAGGATGTCTGGAGAGAGCACCCTGCTACCCAGGTCTGGGCTTCAAGAAGTGCATGGCCGGACCGCACCCACCAGATGGGAAAACCGAAGTTAGAAATTGCTGAATTATGCTCCCTAGTGCACCTCCGAGGCACCCTACTGAGTCATGGGGGGCCTCCAGGGAACATATTATGGGGTTTGCATCCCATCCCCAGAGATTCTGGTTTAATTAGAATGGGATGAGTCCTGGGCATGAAAAAAAAGTAAAGCTCCCAGATGACTGTAACTTGTAGCCAGAGTTGAGAACCCTGCTGTGGTTCAGCAGAGGGTCCTGAGCACCCATGCATTGATACCTAACACAGTCGCCTATGAGGCGCCGCTACAGTGTTTTGGACAGGTTCAAGCCGTGGACTGATGAGAAGGCACAGTCCTCTCGTGGCCACATGCAAGTCCCAGCTTGGAGGGCAGAGCCTTCCCAGCACAATTATAGCCAACAGCTGTAGTTGTAAGCTTGAGCCTATGGTCCGAACACATGGCCCACGTGCCTGAGTGATAGAGTTCAGGTGCATGTAGTTGCGTAGGGTTGAAACCCACAAGAATGTTGTAAACAACTTGATCATGCCCTTTGCCTCGTGGCATCTGCCATAAAATAAAGACACGGCTTGTGGGCACTGGCGCTGTCCACCAGAGGAGCAGCGTCCCACCGAGACCCAGCTTTCATTCTCTTGTCTGTCTTTTCTAAGCCTTTCATCGCCTCCACTCAGGGTCACTGAACCAGGCTGAGCTGGCATGAGTATGCTATGGCCGTGCCGGCTCCCCACAGTCTCCTAGGTAGATGACTGGTCACTGGCAAGAAATGAGTATCAGTTTGAGAGAAGCATTTTAGGAGAAATCTAGGTAGGATGATTCATTCTTGAGGTATGCTTTAGTGCAGTAAAAATAATAATCTCTAAATTCATAGGAGATATGAAACTGGGTTAGAGGGATTCAATCACTATTAACACAAAGAAAGAAACAAAGGAAAAACCAAGTATGTGAGCTCAACCAAGTGAGCTTAACAGGGAAGTTCTACTTCTAAACCTGGAAGAGTTGTTTAATGAACAAAAGCAGTTTGGAGCAGTGGGTAAAGCAAATGTCATTCTTTTTTCCAGAATTGAAAAGAATCTACAATAAATATCCATTATGTCTTACAATGGTCAGGGAATGTTTATTCCACAGTGGCTGTTCAGAGAACGAATTAAAATCGATATGATATTGATTTTAGTCTTTGTGAGATATATCCCCAAATATTTGTATATGACTTTTAAATGGCAGAGCTATGAAAACAATGGCGTGAGACAAGGGCACCTCATGGTTATGAACAATCCCTCTGCTGATCCGTTTTCCACACTGTGGCAGAAAGAGCTTTCTAAAGTGACTCTGACCCGGTCACTCCTCTGCTCCACGTCCCCTTTGAGTTCTCCATTGCCGCCCTTCAAGGCCTCCATGCTCCCTTCTCCAGCCTTCCCTCCCTCCACAGCCCTCCTTCCACCCTGTGCTCCACCAAACGTGACTCCCCAGAGAGCCCTGCTGTCACACCTCTCCCTTTGCCTGTGCTGTGCCCTCTACTGGGATGGCCTCTTCCATGGACCCCAGTTCTCCTAAGCCTGGAAAACTCACATCTTTGACGACGCAGTTCAAAAGTCACTTCAACTATGAAGCTTTAGAAGATGCGGTACAGATATACAATCGAATATTACTCAGTCATAATACAGAGTGAAATCTTACCATTTGTGACAACCATGGATGAACCTAGAGGAATTATAAGTGACATAAGTCAGAGAAAGACAAATAGCATATTTCACTTATATGTGGAATCTAAAAAACAATAAGTGAACAAACAAAACAGAAAAAAAAATATAGATACAGAGAACAGACAGGGTAGCCAGGTGGAAGGGGAATGGAGGCTGGGTGAAAAGATGAAGGAATTAAAAAGTACAATTAGCAGTTACAAAATAGTCGCCAATGTAAAGTACAACCTAAGGAATCTAATCAATAATATTGTAATAACTTGGCACGGTGCCACTTAAGTACCAGACTTATTGGGGATAACCACTTTGTAAGTTATATAAATGCCTATCTAATAACTGCACTGTACAGCTGAAACTAATATAATCTTGAATGTCAACTGCAATTGAAAAGTAAAAACTATGAAGCTTTTCCTGACCGGTCCATAAAGAAGTGACCACTCCCTCCTTTGCCCACCTCCATATCATGCACCTTACACATTATCACATTTACATGTTTACCTAACTTTCCCTTTTATGGCAGAGATGGTATTTTATCCATTTACACACCCAGCACTTAAAAGTCAGATGGATATAAAGTTTTCAATTAAGTTTATTTCATGAGTTGAATTTCTTGAATGAATTAATTTAACTTTCTATAAATTAACCTCCCCCTCCTCCTCTCCCTCTCTCTCAACACAGACATATACACACCATGAAGAAGGAAATGGAAGGGGCCAAAATGGAACACTTCTTGTAATAGTTCCTTCATCAGTCTGTCTTTACTTACCATTGATGTTCTGTGCCCATTGGCTGAAGGCAGAGCAAGGGGCTGTTTTACTGATGCAGAAAGCACAAGCTAGTCCGAGAACTGAAGCTACCTGAGTCACTGTGTAGCTGTCCCTTTTCAGATAGCAGCCTGGACAGAAAGCTGCCCTTGCGACTGCCCGAGCGAGATCTGTCTGTCCAGACTCCTCTCTCTCTCACGCTGCCATTGCTGCCTCTGCAGTGACTGTGCAAACCTGTGAGAGGCTCCCTGCGCGTTGCCAGTCCTGGGACTGTTTCCAGGTTCCTATTGCATAGGATGGACAATGCCTAGAAGGCATCATTGTGCCTAGCCAGTACTGGGACATGGTATTCTGTATGCCAAAGGAAGAATGGTCAGGTTGCTGTCCCGGGTGCTGAATTCTAACACAGTCATCCCAGGGACATGGGATGTGGACGTGGAGCTGTCCGCTGTGCTGACCCTCCTCAGCCCAGTCCTTTTCACTACCACAAGGATCTACCTCAAGTGGCTTGGGTTGTGGGATTTGCCACAAGGCTTTAGACTTCGGCACACTGACTTGGATGACTTGTTGCTGATTGTTGGCTTGAAGTAGATTCTTTCAGACAAGGGAGAGCAAATCATATACTGCTGAGGCACTGAATATTTTCTCAAATGAAATGGAGGGGCCCTTTCATCGTCAATGCCCTTATTGCCTGACTTCTCATAAAGTGCCCTCCTGATTTTCCTGATTCCCAGATGGGATAGTTCCAGTACATTAAGGAGCTAAGAGATGGCTGCAATGCTGTGCACAAAGAGCATGAAAATGGTCTTCTCTGTGGGCCTGGATACAAAGCAATCCACTACATTGGGGCATGGAGGTTGAGTATATTTGTAGAGGGAGTGCATTTGAAACCCATAGAGAATATACTGGCCTACCATAAACCCTACTTCCAGTACAGGTCTGATCAAGATGTGTAAGACAAGTATGCGGTAGACATCCTTTCGGAGGGACTTTATGGATCCTCTTCTGCTCTTGTAACCTCCTCAGTTCTCTATCCTTTGTTACTCCTCCAATTCCAGCCCTGGATTCTCCATGTGGGTTCTAAGGTGTGACTTTTTCCTCTGCCTCTCCTTTTCAAAGGCCCTGAGTTGATAAAGGACATGGCCCATATACACCAGAGAGGGAAAAGATACGAAGATGATCAGTAAAACCCAGAATCTGGTCAAAGAGATAGGGAACGCATCATCATAACAGATATTGTTGCAACCTGGCTGCTGGGTGTTGCAGGCAAAGGCTGACTGTTCACCATCCCCAACATCTTCAGCAGCCACACCAAGTAGCAGCATTCGGAAAATGAAGAGGATGGTCAGCCAGATTTTCCCCATGATGGTTGAGTGGGAGTGAACTTCCTCTAGAATGTCACCCAATGAGCTCCAATCCCCCATGGTAAGAGACTAATGCCTGAAATAGAGAGAACACGGAGGTTAATAGCACCCCTGGATGTAATGTATAAAGACTCGGGCTCATTAAAACAGCAGATTGTTTTTTCATGCCAGTAAAACTGCGAATGGTTTCCCAGCCCTAATATTTATGGACCATGCTTGATGAAATAGGATGGTTCCAGGGAATATCCAATTTTGAAAAAACACTAACGACCCTCCACAATCTGATCCAATATCCTTTCTATCCTGTTCTCTCCCACACAAAGTTGACTGTCATTCTGACATGTGAATTGGCCCTCATGTTTATACAATGCCGTCTATTCCACAATTTTACTCATTTTTCTACCATCTGAGATGCCCCATTTACCATACGTCCTACATGATCTTAAATAACTCTGACTGTGGCACTGTACCTCACATGAGTTGCATGATGGTTGTGGCATGTGGTCTTTGCACACAGAAGGTATCACTAAATAGCAGTGGGCTGAATTGTCTTTTCACTTTAAAACTCGGTTCCTCTCCCAGGAATAATCACCAGCAGAAAACAAAGGTCCTCGTTATATATTATCCATGCTCCCACTCAAGACTGAAAGTACAAATGAGGAAAACAGAAACCAGCCAAATACACCCTCTGATACTGGCACAGAATAGCAGGAAAGATTAAGAAGACACAGAAACAATAAGCAATAAGACATGATTACATTTTTCATGGAAGCTTTGCTAACTTAGAGGAAAAGTGAATATAAACTTCTCTAGCAAACTTGAGACCTGGAAAAAAATGGAAACATAGCTGACATGAGTAGGTTATTTGGTTCACACTGAAAAATTTAATGTTTTTCAAGGTTCAATGAGGCTAAAATACTTGGTACATTAAAATCTTCTAAGATGTGGAAGACTTCCAAATGTGAAATATATAAAGAAAAAGCAGGAAAGTGCTATTAGGTTAAAACAAATAATGAAACAATTTTCTCTTTCCATAAATCATTCCTTCAATATTTACCAAAATCTTTCTAGCACCTAGTAGATGCCAGGAAATTCAACAATGAACCAGACATGCCTGGTCCAGCCCTCACAGTACTTAGTCACTAAGGACTCCCACTAACATATAAAATGAACCAATAGTGTAAAAAAGCAAATATCAACTCAAAAATACAAGAAAAAAACATTAAATTGTTATATTTTCCCTACTTATCTCCAAACACAAATACAGGGTGGGGCAAAAGTAGCTCTACATTTGTTTGTATAGAAAATAATACAATCCTATATAATAAAGAACTAATATGCTAGTGGCCGTGATGCCCTCATGCTGTAACAACTGTTCAGCAGGAGGCTGAACATGCGTGTAGGAGTGGAGCTGCCGCGTTGCTCCACGTTGCTCCGGAGATGAGATGGAAGCGGGGAAGCGCCCGGAGGAGGCAGGACCATTCCATGGCGGGGAGGGCAGGAATGAGAGCCCATAGCGCCCCCCTCACCAGTCCTTCGCCACCCACTGCTCGCACTCAGCGCGCCTACCGCCCACCTGCCAGGGGAAGGAGCACAGCGCACCACCAGGAAGTGGCGCTCGAAACTCTGTAGCCGAGGGGAGGCTTCCACGCTCTCCTCCAACGCCATGACAGGGCGGAGACACCGCATTGCTCCAGAGCCGGGGCAGAAGTGGGGAGGCACCCGGAGGAGGTGGGACCAGCCCGAGGCGACTCGTGGGACCAAGGGAGGGGCTTAAGGTGACCAGAGAAGGCCGGAGGGGTCAGGGGCGGGGCCAGGTGCACTCGAGTTCTGGGTGGAGAGGTTAGGGTGTCAAGGTGGTGCGGCAGGCAGGTGGGCATGGTGTGCATGGGTGGGTAGGGCCATGCAATTTCATGCACTGGGTCACTAGTAGTTAGTAAATAATAATACAAGAATAACTGTTATGTACCCACTACAGTAAACCTGCTTTTGCCTGACCCAGTATAAATTCCAGATGGACTAAAGAATTAAATCTAAAAAGGTTAACTCTGAAAGTATTAAAATAAAATGTAAAAGAATATGTTTTACAATCTTGAAGTAGAGGAAGGCTTTTGAGGAAGGCTTTTTAAGTACAGCAATGGCAGAAGTTATAATTGGAAAAATATATAGATTTTTTCCCCAACAAAACTGAATGGCAGAGTGGGCACATCCATAAAAAAGGATGAAATCTTACCATTTGTGCAGCAGGGTTAGACCTAGAGGGCATTATGCTAAAAGAAGTCAGATAGAGAAAGACAAATACCATATGATTTCACTTATATGCAGAATCTAAAAAAACAAAACAAAAACAGACCCAGATACAGAGAACAAACAGATGGCTGCCAGAGGGGAGGGAAGTTGGAAGACTGAGTGAAAAAGGTGAAGGGATTGAGAAGTACAGATTGGCAGTTATAAAATAGTCATGGGAATGTAAAGTACAGCATATGGAATATAGATAATAATATTGTAATAAGTATGGATGGTGCCAGTTGGGTACCTGAAATATAGGAGCGGGGGGCGGGGAGCACTTTGTGAATTATGATTGTCTAACCACTATGCTGTATACCTGAGACTAATCTATCTCGTATCCTATCTAATAAAAGAGAAACATGGTAATTGGCGTACGACCGCTACCCTTCCCATTGGCTAATCAGCGAGATAGGCAAATTAACTGCCAGCCAAGATGGCAGCCGGTAGCCAGGCAGCTTGAAACTAACATGAGGCTTGCTTGCTTCAGTGACTGACGGAGGACTCCAACGTTCCCCGCCTGCCTTGCTGGCCTCTGAGCCTGCAGTTTAAGAAACCTGTAACAAATATAGAAGCTAAACAAAACCCCAGAAACCAGCTTTCAGCGAGCTGGGATCTCAGAGCTGGAGTTATACATTGTTTCGATTAGAGAACCTAAACAAACCAGATACCTTCTTTCAGCAGCAGAGGCCTCAGAGCTGGAGCCAGAGCTAAAGCTGGCCCAGAATAAAAAGAAAAAGAAAAAGAAAAAAAGGAGCAGTTGGGAGCTTCAGTCACCCGTCAGCCTGAAAACAGCCCTCAGCCCCTCACCCAGACTGGCCAGGCACCCCAGTGGGGACCCCCACCCTGAAGGGTGTGTGACCAGCTGCAAACAGCCATCATCCCCTCATCCAGGCTGGCCAGGCACCCCAGTGGGGACCCCCACCCTGAAGGGTGTGTGACCAGCTGCAAACAGCCATCATCCCCTCATCCAGGCTGGCCAGGCAGCCCAGTGGGGACCCCCACCCTGATCCAGGAAACCCTTCAGGGCAAACCAGCCAGCCCCCACCCATGCACCAGGCCTCTATTCTATATAGTAAAAGGGGAATATGCCTCCCAGCACCTGGATCAGCGGAGCAGCGAGGCCTCCAGGCACCGAGATCAGCGTGACAGGGGGCAGCGCCCAAACCCCCTGATCACCCTGTGGCTCTGTGTGTGACAGGGGGCGGGGCCATAACCTCCCTATCGGCCCTGCTCTGTTCCTGACAGGGGAAGGCGCCCCAACCCCCTGATCGGCCCTGCTCTGTGCCTGATAGGGGGGAGCTCCCCAACCCCCTGATCGCCCTGCGGCTCTGTGTGTGACAGGGTGCGGCACCCCAACCCCCCCACCCCACGGGCCCTGCTCTGTGTGTGACGGGGTGCGGCGCCCCAACCCCCCCCCCACGGGCCCTGCTCTGTGTGTGACAGGGTAGAGCCATAACCTCCCCATCGGCCCTGCCCTGAGTGTGAGAGTGGCAGCGCCCCAACCCCCTGATCAGCCCTGCTCTGTGGGTGATAGAGGGCGGCGCCCCAACGCCCGCCCCCCCACGGGCCCTGCTCTGTGTGTGATGGGGTAGAGCCATAACCTCCCCATCAGCCCTGCCCTGAGTGTGACAGTGGCGGTGCGCCAACTCCCTGATCGGCCCTGCTCTGTGGGTGATAGAGGGTGGCGCCCCAACCCCCTGATCGGCCCTGCTGTGTGTGTGACAGGGGGCGGTGCCCGAACTCCCCTATCGGCCCTACTCTGTGAGTGACAGGGGGGAGCTCCTCAACCCCCTTATGGGCCCTGCTCTGTGAGTGACAGGGGGGAGCTCCCCAACCCCCTGATTGACCCTGCTCTGTGCATGACAGGGGGGAGCTCCCCAACCCCTATCGGCCCTGCTCTGTGCATGACAGGGGGCAGCGCCCCAACCCTGATTGGCCCTGCTCTGTGCGTGACAGGGGGTGGCGCCGCAACCTCCCCATCGACCCTGCCTTGAGTGTGACACGGAGCGGTGCCCCAACCCCCCAATCGGCCCTACCCTGAGCGTAACTGAGGGTGGCATCGCAACCTCCCGATCCGCCCTGCTCTGTGCATGACAGGGGGCGGCGCCCCAACTCCCCAATCGGCCCTGCTCTGAGCCCGACCAGGGGCTGCACCTAGGGATTAGGCCTGCCCTCTGCCACCCGGGAGCAGGCCTAAGCCAGCAGGTCGTTATCTCCCGAGGGGTCCCAGACTGCGAGAGGCACAGGCCGGGCTGAGGGGCCCCCTCTCCCCCCCGAGTGCACAAATTTTTGTGCACTGGGCCTCTAGTCTATATATAAAAGCCCAGTGACCAGGACAGCGGAACAACCAGAACAACTGGAACGACCGGTGGCTATGACACACACTGCAGCAGCCAACCAGCCTGATCCAGGCCCTGATCAGTCGCCACCCCCTCTTTGGCTGGCCCAGCACCCGATCGGCCCCCAACACCCAGATTGGAGGCAGAGCTGGCCAGCCAACTGCCCACAGCCCCTACCTCCAGCCGGCTCAGCCCAATGGGTCACCATCGGGGCAGGCCGGCCGGACCCCCATGTGCATGAATTCATGTACCAGGCCTCCAATATAAAATAATGTTGAATGTCAACTATAATTGTAAAATAAAAATTTTTTAAAATTTTATGTAGGGATGTCCAGAAAGCATTTAAGACTAGAGAACAACAATAAAAAGATACAAACTAGAGATAAAAATTTAAGCATTTGTGAATAATCATTGAATAGGTAGATGAGATCACTTGGGGACAAGAAAGAAAAATAGCAGAGAAAAAAGGGGAAAACATGAGGATCGTGTCACTGAAACCAAAGCAGGACACTTTCCAGGAGAGAACAGTTGACAATGCCAAGTATACACACACACACACACACCACTGTTTAAATAAATTAATGGTAGGATATACTATACTCAGGGATTCAGAACTCAATTACTATCCATAAAGATGCCAAGTCTCTCCAAATCATTGATGCTCAGATGCAATGTAAGACTGTATATCACTGAGTAAAATAAAATCATACAAAAATATATATATGCATTTGTAAATGAGATGTATAGGTATGTGATTATGAGCATGGAGGAAAAAGAACAGAGGGACACACACTGGGAAGTTAATATAGGTTACTGGTGGTCTGCAGGAGGTTGTAAGCAAGGAGGAAGTTTGGAGGAGGAAGAGAGAGGCAAAAAGAAAAAGATGCTTCTCGGGAAGCATGACTGATTTTTACCCAGTGTGTACATTTATGTAAATTTATACCTGTATGTGCATACATGTTTAAACAATTTCTAAAATTAAATTTAAAAAGGATTCTCTCAGAATTTGAAAGGGGTATTAATGAGTTTTATATTTTACTCTATGTACTTGTAAATTGTTTCAAATTCAAAAATTATAGTACCCCAAATAAAAACTTTAAAGTCTTCGACTTATACCTCATTAACTGAAGCAACAATTTGCTAAGTTCTATCCTTTCTTAATCATCCATTTAAATTTTTCTGGCCATTATTCTTTATTAAAAAATAATACCTTTAACACATAAAAATATAGAACTTCTATCCTACATAATAAAAGCCTAATATGCTAAGTGTCCGACCCTTCATTCAACCGTTTGACCAATCACTATGACGCACACT